GCTGGGAATGGAGGAATGGAAAAGAAAATGAAAACTACGACTATGATGGGTTATTTGTAGGGACTACTATAAGGGTCCATTCCTTCATTCCTAGCTAACCCAAGGCCAGTCTCTGAGCAGTCATCCATGCCTAGAGCAGGGATTCTAAGTCATCATCACTAGACCATAATGTTTGAGGTCTGTGAAGTACCCTGTACCATAGTTGTTTAAGGAGTGTAAAACTACAATATTGGCAAGTATTTAGGCCACTGCGTTAAGCCTAATCCCAAAGCCTTTTGCCCTCAGCCCTGAACTTCCAATAGACTAACCGAGCACTCTGCACTCTAGTCCATGCGCTGTTTAGGGTTCACGGTTCAGTGAGACTCGCAATTCTCGAGCATGTCCTGGCTCTTGGACTTTGGCAGAGAATGCAGGGACTGCGCTACTTGCGCCATTGCGGAATGGAATGGAGTGGAAGGAAAGGTGTGAGGGGAAAGTGGCGGTGGAAAGAGAGTGTAGACTGGAGAGTGGAGTGGAGAGTGCAGAGTGAAGTTGAGAGTGACCCAAAGAGTGAATAAGAGTTGAGGTGGAAACTGGAATGGTCTTTGGAGTGAGGCTGGACTCCAGAGTAAAGTGGAGAGATGACTGGACAGTGGAGTAAAAAGTGGAGCAACGAATGGGGAAAGTGGGAGGAGAAGGGCGGGGAAAGTGACTGGAAAGGAAAGTGGAGTGCAAAGTGAAGTGGACACTGGAGTCGAGTTGGGCAAGGCCCTGGGAAGAGTTTTCCAGGCTTCTTAACGAGGTTTGTTCTTTTTGCTAGCATGCACCTTCCCTCCTCCTCTTCTACCCTACTCCAATGCTAGATAGAATCTGGCTAGCTTTCGTTGGCCTCGCCCCTCAAGTTGCAATGGCTCAGAATAATCCAAAAAAGCAACCAGCACATAGCCTCTATGGATGGAATCAGGTTTTGACAGTTTGCTGCTAAGCCTGTCATCCGACCCGCACTCGTCCACCCCACATCAAACATCCCCTTGCTCCTAGGCTTAGTTATGCTCGGTAGGGAATGGAGGAAGGACCATAGTAGACATCAGTAAGCATGACAGTATTGTCGCCCAAATACATTGGAGACATTATGTGCTAGGGAGTTCAAAGTCTGAGGCTCCCAGGATGTTCTGTGCCAACTTGGCAAAAGAGATCTGACTGTCAGTAGTTGAGTGTAATGGGTATGCTTGCTGATCCATTCTCTGATTGGGTATCGTTGGTCAGAGGTTTTATAAGGGGGCGTCCTTAGCTGGGGGAGGACTTGGCCCATGCAGAAAAGTAGGGCCAGCTGGACTTCAGCAGGACAATGACATGTTGTGCAACAGTGTAGACTTACTACTTCTTAGAACTCAGGGAATGAACTTCAACACTTCTTGGCCGGTACATCCTGCACAACACCAACCTTGAGACACGTCAGACATTGTTTTTCAGCGTCAGTATCAGTATACAGGTTTGCTTAGCTTTGCTTGAAAACAGCCTTGGATTCACGTCTTCAACGCTCCGAACAAGAAATGCTTCTGTGGATCCTTTTGGGCTCCTGCCCTCCACCTCTCCACCTGGGCTGTGTAGGCTGGATGACACGCTGAATGCTCTGAAAGCAGACGAGGCAGCAGCCCTAGAGCCACTTGTGGAGACACGATTCTCGACAGAGCCCCTGTCCTTCAAGGTGACCAACCAAAATCTGCTGTTGGCAATCCGCAAGGACGCGCGTTGCAGGGGTTACACCCGTGCTGTGCCGTTTGCGCCCGTTTCTCAGGAGGTGCCGTGCTTGCCAGCGCAACAAGCTGAGCAACACCTCTGGCGAGCCTTTCGCCACAAGGCACTTGGTCAGGTTGTTAAAAAAAACCCACGGCTCTGTTCGGATGTACACATGGAGCTGTTGAGATGAAACAGCTCGGCTTACGTGTGACTTCCTCGGAGGTGAATTCCTTGCGCTCCCTGGGACAGTGCCTGGTCTTTCGGGTGCTCTGCCAGGTGCGGTTTCTGGCTAAGTAAGATGTGAGAGTCCGAAAAAGAATGGTTGTCCCGCTTGACACCTAGAACATCCATACTGCCGTATGACAGCAACCTCCAAAATGCAATTTCATCTAGGAAACCTTCAATACTCAGAATTTCTGGCCGGTGGAAGGCTCTGGGTCGCGAGGAGCCAGCCTCGCCACGCAAGCGCCGCCGCACTGAGGGCAGGAAGACCGCAGAGAAACCCTGAGGGCCAAAAGTGCATCAGAGGATGTTGAAAAGCCAACTCCATGCCTCCCTGCAGGGCAAACCTGCGCATCCTGCTTCCAAGGACAACAAGGATGGACGAAGGAATGCAATCGGCTTCTTCATACCATCTGAAAGATGATGGCAGCTCAAACCAAAAGGGATAAGAGCAATTCCACCAGGATGGGTGTAGGTGTTGATTCCGTGCCTTTAACAGGCAAGCGAACTTGGCTGGATCGTTTGAACAGAAAAGAGCAAGCCAAACGCGTAGTGACAAGGGCTTTGCGACTGTCAGAGTTGCACGTTTTTGTCTGGATGTTTTGTGGGTTGAAGGTTCAAGTCATGTAGCCCTTGGGAATCCTGCAAGTTATCATTTTCATGGCAAATGGGGGGACAGAACGCAGCATCGGCAGAAAGGTGACGTCGGCAAACACGAAGTCGACCTCTTGTGTGCGGCTCCGGGTCAAATAGCACCTCCCAAAGACCACTGCAAAACCCGCAAAACTGTTGTAACTGCCAGGCTTGCTATGGCAGGATCGAACACTTCCGCTTCCTTGGGCTCAAGACTCAAGACAGATGATGCAGACTTGCTGCGCTTAGCCGCTTTCATGAAAAACCAGCTTCCCCTGCTTGGCGCCCGATACATGTTTGCGCTTGAACATCCTATCAAGATCAAAAGCAGTAGCCCTAGAGGTAAATACATCAATCAGACCGACTTCCGTGCGAAGCGCATCACTGCATGAACCCACGAGGTGAGATTAACTGACACCTCTTCAAGTGATTCTGTTTGCAACAAAGCCAGGGCAAGTTGGAAAGGAACCCGCAAGACACACACAACCTTCCTTACATTGGAGATGGCAAGGTACACAAGCGAAGCTCAATGAGCCTCCTCATAGACAAGCTTCTAAGCGTTTGCCGCATCCCTTTGTATCCTCGGAGCAACCGCAAGTGTAGTGCAAAATGCTGCTGTACTTGTGGGAGGAAAATCCATCATCGGGCGCCGAGTTCACATGAGGAATGAACTGTGCCCTCCATAAAGCAGAGGCGTATACATGCCCTGCACATCCGTGATGAGCCGAAACGGCAAGGCAGAGCAGCGGTCAGATCTCGTAAGGATGCCAGCTCAAACGAGCTGGGCAGAATCCATGACCAGTTCATGCTCACTCGCCCACGTTCTCCATACTCCCCTGGTTGTGCTTCTGGAAAAAGCCGAAAAAGCCTTCATCTTCATCGCGAACCCCGCTTCTCGACCCAAGATTGGGGATTGAGAAAATCAGGCATCTATCTAGAACATGCCTTCTTGGGTGCATTTTCCTGGAATCGACTTTCAGGAAGCCCCCATCCCCTCCCCTCCCCCCCTTCTTGGCAGGCGGGCCCACTGCCCAACAGTCCTTGCAGTGTGCACCAGCAGTGTGTAATTGATATAGTAGCGTGTTTGAAGCCAGGATTGCACGCCCAATGTTGAAGGGCTTGGGCAGGTATAATGATAAGGATCAGCTAGTTTAAGTGCACTGATCGGAGGGCGCCCTCATGCCACCTGCAACGGCCACCCGGAGTGCGTGGAGCTTTGTACAGAGTACATAGCACTCCTAGGCGCGTTCACTGCTTCAGACCTTTGCAACCGCACATCTGGCTTTCCCTGAACATATGCAGAGCGACATTAAGTCGTTTCTTCTTCTTCTTCCAAAGCACTCGGATGGAGATTGAAGCGTTGATTTGGAGAGGTGAAACAAATTCGAACAGCATCCCCATCAATGAAGCAATACTGTCTTGACAGTTCGCGTGAATCTTTGGCATGCGCCGCCGCCGCACCGCCTGCAAAAGCCAAGCGAAGCAGGAATCGTCAGGAACCCCAGCCTTTCCTGTTTGTATCAGAGCTTGTCAACACGTCCATGGTAGGGCACTTCAGCTGCATCGAATCAAGCCAACACTATTGCACGCCCTACCTTTCCGCCACGGCGCGTGGAAAGTCAACTTACTGAAGGTATATCAGAAGCCAATTCCTCTATGGAATGTGCAGAATGGCAACAAGCTGCTCCCAAGCAGATCACAAAACACTGAAGAACATGAAGTTGCCACCAAAACGAGTTGTGCAATCATCGCCACTTGCAAAGGATCCATAGAGACAGTCACCGGAAGCAGCAAACTGTGCTTCATCTAGGTGCCCCATTGCTACTGCTATTGTTCTTACCCTGCTCTCAAAGTTGTTCACGGGGCAGAGATTCCTCACGGCAGCAGCTAGGCTGGCTCATGCGCAGCCAGGAGAGGGTTATTCATCTCGCCTTGGTAACGCTGGTTATCGAGGCCAAAAAGGTTCGGGTAAAAACTTGTAGGAGTTTGGCATGCTCTGGACTTATGCCACTAACGGTCTGGAGCTGGATTGCGTGCAACAAGGCTCTAAAGTAGAGAGAAAGGTGTCCATGAGAGTGAACACAAGTACCAATCCCAGGCAAGGAACAGGCCTTGTTTCGGTGCAAGGAACGGGTTTTGGGGCCAGCTTTCGAAATTGAGGTTGCAGATCTTCGGAAGCTGGATTGGGGCCAAACAAAGGCATTCCCATGATCTACGCAGAGCAAGTCAAGACGAAGCAACACTTTTTACCGCAGCAGTTACGTAGTAATCAGCGGTGCCATGGCGCTCCAAGATGCGAATTTCAGCTTCGAGGCTTCAGAGGCAGGGTTCATGGCTCTCGGATGGATCTTCTTTGCATTTCCTTGCATTTCGATGCGTTTTGCACGCTTTGGGCACTTCGCAGCCGGCAGGATGTGGAGGTCGTCATGTCCTTCAACAAGATGGGCCTCAAGGAAGTGGTATTGTGCAAGGGGGTGCAGTCACCATCAACAGTACCAGAGGACGACGTGCTCCGTGGCGTCTACGCGTATGGCTTCGAAAGGCTTTTTGCGAGCTGAAATAGTTGGCAGCGGTGAAAAAACCTCACCGCCTGCTGTGTTTCAGGCCGTCTGCGGTGCAACAGCGAGCTATTCGTCCGGTTCTGCAAGGATGGGCCCTGACGATTCTGCAAGAAAATCGTGAGATACTAGCAAGTCACAGTACAGAGGCCGCGACGTGATCGTTCAGTCGCAAAGTGGCACAGGCTGGTGCTGACCTGTTCTGTTGCTGTGTCTTCTGTGGTGTCTCTCCTGCTGAGGGAAGACTTCCGTTTTCTGTCTCGGTGCTTTGCACGTCGTGGATGTCACAAGTGTTGAGCCGCAGGCGGGAGGTGGGGTTCTGCAAAAGCGTGGTGGGAAAGCTAAAATGTCTTTGGGTCGTACCGGGCTCAGTGTTGCCTGTTTGAGAGTTTCTCGTGAGGCTGTTCTCCTATCTCCCACGCGAGAGCTCGCCGAGCAAAGCGCCAAGGTACTCAGGTTTCTGCTCGTCATTTGGAAGGTGAGATCAAGGCAGAATCTGGATTACTGTGCCGCAGGTCTGTTCCGCTTTGGGTGATTACATGGGCGTGAAGATTCACCGATGCATGGGTGGCAAAAGCGTCAAAGACAGCATCAGAGCACTTAAATCTGGCGCCTCGCCACAAGTTGCTTTGCAGATGCCTTGCATTACACTGGAAAGTGCCGTGTCAGCTCGCTACAGGCTTGATTCTGCTTGCGACGCACATGTTACTCCGTGTTTCGTGCTGTTTGCAACTTTTTGGATGTTGGCGAGCTCAGGGATTCACGTCATCTCTGGAACGCCAGGGCGTGCTCCCTGGCTGATCGACATGTGGCATGGCGGGCTCATGCATGCAACATCTGACTGGCCTCATTCCTATGGACAACAGAAAGGTTCTGAGCATGATCCAGCAGCGGCACCTGGAAGCTGCGAAGCTGAATTGATGGGTTTTCGTGGCCACAGTGGCCGCGTGCAGAAAAGGCATACCGGTCGCTTGTGCCCACCCATTTGTGTTTTGCTACGGGAATGGCTGTTCTTTATGTCCAAATTCGCACTCCTGCCATAGTCCCGCACACTTTCCGGAGCATTATGCTCGTCTAGACATGAGGGTTTACTTTAGGGTTGGGAAATCTGAAGCCAATAGGTAATTCAACCCAAAGCCCCTACATCTAAACTCTTCAGGGCCTTCAGCATGAAGTCTCAAACTCCAATATAGGGTTTCGGGTTTAGGGAGCCTAAATATGGTTGCAAGGAACAGTAGTGGTTACCCTCAGGGTTCGAGTATTCAACAATCAAATATTTCCTCAACCATTGTACTATCCTCTCCCTTTCTCTCAAAATAGGGATCCTGAACCATGAGCCAATAGTATCTTGCAGGCTTTGGCGCCATAAAGACGGCCCACGACCACACGGCTGTCTGGCAAAAAAATACTGTAGGGCCTGAGTAAAGCGCAATATCAACTTAAGGTCTAGTTGAGGTACCCTAATTATACCATAAGTATACACGGAATCTGGGACTCTAAACTTCGTGATCTGTGTCTTACACCCCAAGCTCTCCACCTGGCGAAATGTGGTAGTTTCCCAGAACAGGGGGACCCCGTTCTCAACAGGTGGTATGACCCTGTTCTGAAGCGCATTGCTTTAGTGCTGAGAACACAATCTACTTGCAGCTTATTGTGCCCAATGTGCGGGATGGACTTGAGATGATAGGGTTGCAAAGTCGCTTGACCGCGTGTGAAGTACGTCATCATCCCCCTCCCTCCCCCCCAGACCCCCCCTACTCCAGACACGTGGGCACAAGTGACGGGAAATGGGTGGGCACAAGTGACGACGGTGCTGCCCTTTGAGAAAACACCTGCCCAGGTCAAGCGCATGAAGTTGCTCGTCCTTGATGAAGCTGACGAAATGTTCAGCAAAGGCTTCAAGGAGCAGGCGGCTGTCTTAATCTCAGCATGGATCTTCTGGATTTGATCCATCTCGGATAGGTTTATGGCATCAAGCGCAGCTTGCCGGATCGGCTTCAGACGGTGCTGGTCTCGGCCACTTTGCCCGAAGAGGCGATGGTACCTCACCAACAGCCCACCAGCAACATCTAACATTTCAATGTGGGAGTTTCAAGGCCTCTCAACATCAACCTTGACCGTCCGTGCCCAGGGCCTTGCGCCCTGAGAACCCAGCCTTTGAGCTGTGCCGGGGAAAGCCAACCACTTCATTACTGTCAGTATTGTACTGTTACTGTACCACCGATGGAATCATTTTGTTGTTGTTGTTGTTGTTGCTTTTTTTTTGTTGCTGTGGGGTTTTGGTACTCACCCTGATCTGCCCATCTATGCCAATCCTGTGGTCGTCAGTGCCTGTCTTTCCTTCTCTCCCTCTGGAACGTGCAAGCTCGCGGCATCCTGTGTTGGACCTGGTCGCAGGTCCTTGAGATGACGGCAGACTTCATGAAGAAACCATTCCGTCTGCTGGTGAGGCGCGAGGATCTCTCACTTCAAGGCATTCGCCAGTACTATGTGTCAGTGGAGAAGGACAGCGCAAGTATCGCATGTGCAGAAACCGCCAGTGAGACTGAGAGTTAAGCAGGGCCTGCAGCGGCACATGCTCTGTCGACCAGGAAGAGTGGAAGTTTGACACCTTATGCGACATATTTGATTCCGTGGCGATCACCCAAGCTGTGATCTTCTGCCAGGGACCCTGAACAAGTTCAAGAAGCAACAGGGATGCGACTCATGTTGATCTGCCTTGGCCATCATGGCCGCTCCAAGGCAACAACAGAAAGAAAGTTGATTGGCTCGCTCAGAAGATGCGCGGAGCGAATTTTCCGATTGCCTCTATTCACGGCGACATGCCCCAGAAGGACTGCCAATGTGACCCACACCCTCATCGGCTGCCCCAGCACAGTCGCACAAGAGTTGCAGGACCGTGATGCAGTGATGGACGCCTTCCGTGACGGCCGCACGAGGTGGAGTTGGAGATGCAGCAGAAGCCAAAACTCTTGAATCCTTTTTCCAACTCTCGAAGCCCTTCCGAAGCAGAACCCTTCTCGCTCCCGTAGAAGAGCAAGCAGATGGCTGATTTGAGTGGAAGGCACTCTCCGAAATAGACCACATGCTATGTTGGGGGCATGTCTTCAATGAGATCATCCGCCGGACTAATGCATGGAAGTCCTGATGCATATTTGCTGAGATTATGCAGGCAAGCCAGACAAAGCAACGATCGTATAGGATCGTATAGGATGGTGGCATAGTCAGACTCTTGAGACACTGTAACAGGTATGAGCATTTAAGTGTGTGCGATTGACCGTTCGCCAGCTTTCACCCACAATAGAAAATTAGAAAGTCGGTTGGCCAATGCGCAACACATAAGATATGGCATGAAGAAAGCACACCAAGAATTCGGAAGCTGCAGTTGGACAGTTTAGGAGCAGCAGGACAACCATGTATTGCTGCATGAGCCTCTGAGCTTGCACTGGGCAGATAGATTCACGACGTATCTGCAGGCCTTCATCAGATATCCGCTTGTCAAATGTGCGAACAGAGGCCGACTGCATCAACCTAAATCTGCCAAAAAAGAGTGTCAGTTGAATTCGGAAACCAGAGATTCAGGGGAATCACTCGACGTGCAATTGAAACGTTGAAACATGAAGCGGTGGTGCCGCGCGGCGCAGAAAGGAATTCAGCCTGACATTGCTCGTCATTTCAGCGACCTTCAGACTGTCATCCAGGCAGCTCATAGCTACGGATTTGCTGGGCCGTGGTCTGGACGTGCAGCAGGCAGGCATGGAGAATCGAAGTATTGATGGGACAAGAACGCAAACGAGTCTACAGGTGACCTTGGTCATCAATTACGACGTTCCGACAAGTCGAGAGCTGCCTGGTACTGCAATAGAAACGGGGAAACGGCACCTGTAGATCGTAGGTGAAGACCTGGACTCAGGTTTTATCTGCATCGGATCGGCCGCTCCGGTCGATTTGGGCGGAGAGGTGTCGCCGTGAATTTTGTCAGGCTGGTGGTGTGAAAACACTTCGCTCACATTGGCGCATGCCAGCAACAGATGGTCTGTGCCGTGCGATCCTGTTCTTTTGCTCTGCTGTTCTTGGAATGCTGGCTTCAGCCCTCTGTTTGCTGGAGGACTGAGGACGAGGCCGTTGTGAAAGATCTGGAAAAATTCTACGGTGTTCCCATCAAGGATCCTACGATAGCATGGTTCCCCGTGTTCGTTTGTAGACCTGGCAGGAGATGCCTGCCAACTTTGCCAAAGTCCTCAAGGGATGAATGAGGCAATGTTGGGAGAGTCTCCGAAGAACGCATCAAGACAGCCATCACCCAAAAGCAAAGAGGAACATTACCATCTGGAAGCTCAAGGGCAACTCGGGAGTTGTGCAATTTTCAAGCTTGACTGCAGCCAGGTTGCTTACAAGGAATTCGGTAATTAGGGCTGTCGTTCATGTCACACAGTTGCTTGCGTTGTGAAGCCCCTGGCATCGCAACAAGAGCTTGCAAAGCACAAGGGGCGCTTTAAGGGCCAGAACACGTATCTTCCAAGCTAACATCATGTGCGTTGCCGCTTTCGGGAACCGATGCGGCATGGGCCCCTGGGGCATCCCACATGGCCCTTGAGGAAGGCAAGGCGGCAAGATGCATTCACAGTGCTGCTGCCTGTGGCTTGTGCCATGCGCATTGCCAGCAGTGAATGCATTCGAATTGTACACACTCAGTCTGCCCGAGGGCTTGACGACCCCGAGGGAAGCGCCCGCAGCTCGTCAAATTGATGCCTGATGTTTCTGAGTGCAAGAAATCTCAAGGCCTTAGCTTCAGAGTCGCCCGGCCACTGTGGCTGCCGAAGCCTGGCACCCGTCAAACTTGATCGAAATCGATGTGCAAGACGTGCTGTCGTCAGGTCTTCATCGCCGATGCTGCGAACGAGGACGCACATTGAAAGCCAAAACAGCTTCGGCATTGTGCAAAGCAGTACAGCAGGGTACGGCAGCACACAGTACAGTGCAGGTACCGACAGCAACGATACCGAGCCTCAGCTTAGGGAAACCAAAGAGGGATGGAGGAGGAGCATGGAGGGGCTTGTCATGGCTTGTCATGGCTGCTTCTAAGGAGCGGGCTCTTTGGCTCATGTTCGGTGTCAACAGTGTCCTTACAGGCTGGCAGCTGGCAACAATGAAGGAGGTTGTAAGTGCATCAGACACCAAACATGGCAGGAACCCAAATCTTTTGCGGCGTCCTTGCGCTTGCAGCCAAGCAGGTTCCATGCCTCGGGGTTGGGCCCTCTTCCCTTTGGCTCAGGAACTCCTTGTCTCTGCTTGGGGACGGCGCTCTCATGGCGATGGACGGAGTTGGGACCCAACCACAGAGCAATCAGCAACCCAACTTGCTATGGCCCAAGGTGTCCTATGCCGTGAGCCTCTACGCGGAGAGGCGGAAGGCTTCAGCACAGGCACCACGCGGACTTCGGAACTCATCAAGAAACGGTAAGGCTGCCGGACAGAGACTGTGACTGCCAGGATGCAAAGCGTCTGGACCGTGCGGCCGCCTTCTTCAGCGCAACGATGCTGGCCGCCACAACGTTCGGCGCCCAGCACCCGAATGCAGCTCGTCTTGGATGGCAAGGCCACTTCCTATTTTCAAGTTCCAAACCACCAGGGCCTGGGTACTCTTCGACGTGGTCGAGCGCCTGACTGGCGAGGAGCGCGAATCTGCGCTTCATTCGCAGCTCGTCGGTGCCCTGAGCTTGTGCCGGAAGCATGCTCTCGAGGGGTATCTCCAGATATCTTCAGGGCTCCGGGGTCTAAAGTGTGTACAGATGTGTACAGGTCAATGGCATGGATACGCTGCACGACATCGAGGTGGGAGCCGCAGCCCAGAGCCCACTGAGTCCACCCTGGGTCGCACATTTGGCATAGAGGATGTTAGTCTTCGATCGCTTGAATTAATAAAGCACGCGACTGACGTGATGCTGAGGATGAAGGTTGTTGCAGTCGTTTCTTTGAGACCTTGTCAATTCCTTGCCCAGGTCAACAGCGACATCATGATCGGCTTTACCAGCCTCAACTTAGCTGCCGATGTTGCAGTTGTGCCTTTTCTTTGAACCCATGAGATCCTTGGTCACATCCCATGTTGCGCCCCCAACAGAGAATCAAACAAAGGGTGGTCACAAGCCGCCACATGAAAACAGATTTAGGGTTGAGGATTTAGGGCCAAGATAAGACTTGGACATACAAGACAAAGGAGCGAGAAGTTTCGGGCAAAACCACGTTTGCTCAGGCTGGCTGTACACCACGGACGACAGTTCCAGTCTACAGATAGACTCGTTTGCAGATAGACTAATTTCAAATTAGACAAATTGTTTATCTGCCGCCCGTGTTTTTTGAAGCTTATGTGGAGCAATGGCAGGGATTGCACTTACGGAAGGAAGCCGCGGCGTTGGAGGGGTGGCGCATGAAGTCTTCCCAAGCGTGAAGCCCGCACGGCTGTACACAGAAAGTTGGTTGTGATCGCTAGAAAGCCAGCAGACCAAGCCCATCTTCCGGATTCTTCAATAATCTTGTTGCAGCATAAGAAAGCAGAGCATGCAGAGCAACTCAAGGCACGGCAGTGGTATTTCCCAGACTCGGCGTGAAAGGTGCTTTGCACTTGGAGCTGTGGCGCTTCCAAGCTCTTGGAGGACGAAGAGGCGACCGCGATGGGAGCTCTTGTTTGGTGCCTTCTACGTAATTAAGTTTGGTATATGTCTCCATGTCTTTATGCTTTCTGTGGTTAGCTTGTCGTGTCCACTTTTGTTACAGATCCTTCTCCCTGCAAGGCGTCTAACCTCAATCTCTTTGGAGCACTGGCACACCTCGGCGCGGATGTGGTCTCCCGGCCGAGTCGGACGGGCTTTGACGGGTGGTCTTTTCGCAGCAGCTTTGCCAGGTCCGTGGCTTGGCAGTGTTGTTGGCAGGAATCTTGGCTGAGGCAGGAATGAACGTGTGGTGGCTTCGCTGTGCAGATTGCACGCTCCGTGCTTTGCAGGTTGGCCTTGTGCAGGCTGCCAAGGCCGCACAAATGCAATTCCTTGCCCCACGAATCGGGGCTCCTTGAAAGAGGCAGACGCCTACTGCTCCCTCTTCGTCTGCATTTTCGTGCTTGCCGCGACAGCCTCGCCTCCTGCCCGGGCTCCGCTTGCCACGGCTTACGGGTTTGGAGAGCTTGACGCTGCTCGTCACCCTCAACCGCAGCTGGCTCTCAGGCTTTTCTTCTCGCCCCGGGAGAGACGATGAGTATGCATAATCACTACCGGTCACTACCGCAGACCTTTTCCACATTAGCAGAGTTGAGTAGGCTCAGATTTTCTATGCCAACTTTTCACCTAGTTACGGCACGAAACAGCAAAGCGAGACAACACCACCACTCCGTTCAAACACAACATGATCATCGACTCAGGAAGCTCTGCAGGACCTGTATGCCTTGGTTCAGCTTTCTTTGTGCTCGGGCCCGGGCGTGGCTGACTTGCGGAGAGCCTGGAGAGGACTGAGTCGTTTGCCTGCTGCTCCGGTTGCAGGTGGGGTTCCTGCCTTTGAAGTCAACTGGACGCAGAATTGAAACCAGGCTCAGCCCAACTTCTTCCAGAACGTCGCGAACCTTCTCTGCAGGAGCAGGACCTCACATTTTGGCTAGGATTTCCGTCATTTCTCTGTACATCTCAGTGCTGTGTTGCAGGTGCGACTCCCACTGCGGGCTTCCAAGCATAGCAAGCAGTCTTCGTTCCGTGCCAGCTATGTGCTGACTCGTTTTGCAAGAAACGCTGAGGCCCGCCCGCGTGGTTGAGACAGGCCATTCTGAATGCCCGTGACAATGTGCTGTGCAGAACAGAAGGCGGCCCGTCCAGACCAGGTCACGCGGCGTCGCCTCTCTTGCCCGAAGTCAAGGCAAGTGGGCGGCTGGCAAGCAAGGGCAGCAGCGATGGCAACTGTCTAGAGCTTGATGATGGCGCGTTGATGCGCAAAGTCCGTGTGGGCTCCAAGGAACCCGAACTGAAGCTGGGTCTTTTCTGTGGTAGGCTTTCTTTGGTTGGTTCAAGGTGAATAAGCCAGGAGCTACTCAGTAGCTCTCTGAGGGTCGCAGCGCCGAGGATGGAGATCCCCGAGGATCACTCGCCGCGTAGTGCGGGCAGTGGGGCCCACAGCCCGCCCCTGCTGGAGCCCGTGAATGAGATCTCGCGCGGCTGGGCGCCCAGACAGGAAGAGCATTTCGATCATTTCGTGCTGAAGCTTTGCACCTGCCGTCAACCACCCAAAAAGCACGGATTCTTCCCTTCAGCTGGTCTTGTATGCCTGGAACTCCATAAAGAGAGTGTGAGGCTTACAGGTTTTGAGGGCCAACTCAGTCCATGGCTCGGGCCCCTACCTAGGCCTCAAGTGAGCGCTTTCCACAATCGTGCCCTGCCCTCCGCTGGAAGCTTGTCCAGTCAACAAGGAGGTGACAGGCTCTTGGATCTCGACACCAGGAGTAGCTTCAAACCCTCCTCTAATCCCCCGCAATGCGCTAGAGATGAGACAGATCGGAATGCCTCAGTTCTTGAACCTTCTGCAGCACTTCAGAAGCCAAGAGGGTGGAAACATAATTTCGTTCCCCCTGATCATGGATGTTGCGCCCGCGCTGGACCTAGCCCTTGAGCGAGCTTCAGCTTGTTGTAGCAACAAGCTGTGCCTTGACGTGGTCCGAAAAATTTTGACTGATAGCATAGAGGCTTCGCATGATGCCGTCCGGCATGCGCATGATGCGTGGGATCAGCTGGAGTTGTGAACTCAAACATGATGTCCATATCCGGGGTGGTGGACCTGCCTGGTGCGGAGGATCTCAAAGTTGCCTTCAAAGAGGCCAAGCTACTCACCCGTGACAGAGTTGTTTGGCAAACTATGGGTCGTTTCCGTGACGTGTTGGATATGTTGCTCAGCATCGAGTGCCTGTCTGACATTGCGAAGGGCAATACAACCCGCATCAGCCAGCTTCGCCACTCGTACGTCAAGATACACTCCGACATGCTGGTGCAGATGATGGGTCGGTACGACTCTTGGGAAGCGTTTGCCCGACATTTGTGGCACAACTCTGATGACTTTGATGTACAGCTTGTACTCTCTCAGATCAACCACTTCAACGAAGCCGGCCTGCAAATTGACAGTGACTACCAGTCCTTGATGCAGTTGCCTGAAATCGTCCAGCAGGCCATGTGCAAGACAAAGACGATCATCTACGCTGCCGATCAGCTGAATGATGGCAGGAATGGGGCGTCCTCTGACATAGCCAGCTTGCATCGCTCCCTGGAGCGGTTGGGCCGTAACCTTTCGTATCCAGACTTCCTGGACCCTGTCCAGCAGGAGATCAACTTGAGCATGCGTGCAAGTCTCTTGGCGGTGCAGCACGCAGTGGGAGCATGGGCTGTTCTGCAGAACGAGGCCCAGGCCAGCGGCATTTGGAGAAAAGATGATGGCAGCCGCAAGTTCCGCAAGCTGGAGAACCTTGTTCTAAAAGAGATCATTCTCAGCGGCTGCGCCTACCTCGGGAATGGCGGCCTCGCTGACTTTGGGTTCCTCGAGCATGTCTTGCGTCACGAGATTAGCTTCAAGGGCATGCCAAGAGTGCACATGGGGAACTTCATGTGCTCACTGAGGACAAGGCATGCCAGTATGCAGAAAGAGCTCTTGCAGGAGCTTATCTGCTCCGAGAAGACATGGGCACGCACTGTCCAGAAGATTTCGCAGCTCCTCATGCCAGACAACAGCCACTGAGACTTTGACGTCGCCAGGGTCCACTGAAAGTGCTCGGACCCATGGACAGAGATGCTTGCAGAGCCAGCCATCGTGCATTCTGAGCTCTAGCCTGTAGCTGCACAGTACCTCTTAACTTTACTCTCTCCTCTTGTACTTGGTTCACCCGGGCTGCGTGCTCAGTGTCGAAGAAAGTGCGCTCAAAAACATGTTGAAACGAGCTGACAGCTGGAAGCCTTGCGAGCCTTTGGGAACGGCACCACATCTTTGACAGAAACCCTCTCTGTCCAAGAATCCTTCTGGAACGTCTCCGGAAGGTCTCTCGCTGCCGTTGCTGGCGGCGCGTGCAAAGAGTGCACTGGAGCCCCTGGAGCCTCTCAGCTGCCAGGGCCCCGAAGGAGCACACATTTGCTTGCCATCATGTCTGTTCATGTCTCTTGTCTCCACTTGTCATCATTGGACTGCTGTGACCTTCGCCTTTTTCATATGGGCTACGGTGGAGTTCTGCTTCCTCTTCTTGTTCTTCCTCATGCCTCTTGGGCCTGCTGTCTTTGTCTGGAAGTTGAGAGAGACACTGGAGGTTGCAGCGGCCTCATCATCACTCTGAAGTATTTCAAAGAGCGTGGGGCTTGATCTCTGGATGCGCCATGTGCAGCTTGGTTGCCTCTCCGTGCGGCCTCTCAGGAGCATTGTGAACATGTTCGTCTTCAGGCAACTTCCGGCTCCTTTCCTGTTCTAGCTTGAAACCAGCTGCCGGTCAGGAACTGGGATGAGGAGCGTGACAAGTTTGAACACATTGTCCCTGGCTCAAACACCGCTTTCTGTCGTAGAGATTTCATCTCTGAGTCTATGAGGTGAACTTCCTTGTCTCCGTACCAGTCTCGGCATCCCCCGCCGGTTTTTGGGCCGGGTGGTTCGAGTGAGCCCAGGTGCCTCTCTTCAAGAAGCAGCTTCCCCCCTGTGAGTTGCCCAAGGCTTGTTCCCTCTGGCGACCCCGTTTCCCGAAGTGCCAGCTTCTGTTGGAAGGTGGCCCAGCTTCTTGAAGAGAAGACATGGCCCCGCGGGTCGACGCTAGTTGCCCAAGGCAGCGCAATCAGTGCGACTCAGACTCATGCTGGCGATCCCCAAAGTAAGCATAGCAAGCCAGGGGACATCGGCGACACCTTCTTCATGATCTACGAAGGGCAAGCAGCCTTGACAATGAAGGATGACCAGGGCCAGGCCGGGACTCATCTTAAGCTCTCAGCTACTCAGTCATTGCAATAACTCAGGAGTTGGAGGTGGGGGTCCTTAGCGCCGGAGACTACATCGGAGGCGACAGAGAGTCCTACCACTTTCTTAATAAAGAGAAGAAATGTGCAACACCCGGCGAGGGCGAGCCATCGTGACGGAGCAGCGACACATGGCGACAGTCGTGGCCCTCGGGGAGCTGGTGACATTATCCATGTCCAAGCAGGCCCAGTTCGGTCAGACTGTAAACTGTGTGTTCAGTCCTTCGCTTGGGAACAGTTTTGTAGCTGAGTGCTGCGTCGCCTGCAGGCGTTCGAGCAAGCTGGGCTCAAGGCTCGACTGCACTTTCCAAAGCGCCCGGCCATCGAAGTCGGAGGACAGCCTTAGCGATCGTGCAAGACGTGTAACGTGTACTACGTGTACTTTGCCGCAGAGAGGTGGCAGCCAGGCAAACCTGCCCCCCACCACGCCGCTGTCGCCCAAGCTTCTTGGACAAAGACAACGAGCGCTTGGCTTGCGGTATTCCGGTATTCTTCACTTCTTGTTTCGGGCATGTTTGTGTATAAGGAAGCGATCGTCCTTCTGCCCCTCAGAAGAATTTAGAGAAAAGTGCCTCTTGCCTGCACATTCGACGCGTCGACGCCTGAGGCATGAAGAAACTGGATGAGAGCCAGCAAACGGCGATCATAAAGGCCATGCGGCACAATCCGAACTTCCGGGCTTTTGTCGATGGCACCAATAGCCCCAGCGAGCAGTCCATCCGCGACATCGCTGCTTGCAGCACATCTATGCATTTTCCATTTGTTTCTCCACTGTTGTGAGACGATCCCTGCAGACCTTCATAGGACGCCTGCGCAAACTCCCCAACTGTGAATCCAAGCCCAGGTCTCGAGTTCGGAGATGCGGACTTTGAAAGCGGGGGAAGCAGCTGCCACCTTCGGGGATCTCGGTCATGAGTTCTTCGTCATCGAGCACTCCGCCAAGAAGGGAAAAGTGGTTAGGTTTGTAGTGTTGTAAAGCAGTTTGAGCAAAGGTTTTCTAGAGGGCAGAGCGTGGCAGTCTCCCTGCCAGGGAAGGCAGCATCGAGGTCATCATCAGCACCGGTGTGCTTGCGAGCCAGAAGCAGCAGGGTCAAGGGAAGTCAGCAGCAGCTGCGGCTGCCACATTCTCCATGGCTGATCGCATCCGAAGGCATCCGTACAATATGCATAGAGAGCGAGTCCTCCTTGCTGTGACTCCTAATGACCCAGTGCCGTTCAAACAGGAAGCAGGACTTTCTGATGAAGTTGCACATTCCTGTAGTGGACCGGAATTCCAAGAGGGCAAAGTTCAATCGCAGCTGCTCCGTCCTCACGAAGGACTCACCGTTTTCAAGCGATCCAAAAGGGAGCAATTAATTTTAAAAGCAGGATCCCCGGGAGGAAGAGTTGGAGATTACAGGCTCCGGCTCGTGGCGCCCTCACAGCCTCACAAGAAGCAGAGGAAGCATAAGTGGCCTTTGCCTTTTGTCCAAGACTTGGGGTCAGCTCGGTGAACACGACCTTCGCCGCTGCCTCCTTCCGCGGCAAGCAGCAGCGGAAATTGAAAACAGGCGCTGGACTCCCTGAACCCTGCAAGGATCTGAAAGCCTTTGTTTGGCTGCTAGGCAGCCGGGCAGAGGAAGTGGAGGACAAGCCGAAGGAGAAGGCCAGCTACTTTTGGAGTAAGAGGAAGCAGCTCCGATGAGACTGAACACAGCCGCCTTCGTTTATAACACGTGTGATACAGCAGCCCATGTGCAAATGGACGAGCTGTTGATGCTTTCTGGCTGTGAGGTCATAAGCACGCTGCATGCTGGAGACAGCTTCGGCGAGCTCTCGCTGCTTTACAACATCCGCCGGGAGGCGAATCAATGGCAGCGCGGTAAAAAATTCGTTTCGTGATTGGTGATGTAGCGCCTGTTTTAGAGCTGGGACGGGAGGCGACCTTCCGAGCGGCTGAGGACACAAAGCTCTTCGTGAAATCCTCAGCTTAGCTCTGCAGAGCTCAAAATCCGTTTATGCCTCTTTTTTTACACGAGGTGATCAACCGAAAGATCTTCAAAGAGATCTCAGGCTTCTTGTGGACGCGCGGAAGCCAATGTGAAGCACAATTTTTGACAAGGTCGCGACAGTGGCCGCAAGAAGTTCAAGGAGTACTGTGACCTCTTAGACGAGGCCAGACCTTCATGTGAGTCTTGAGGGAGCTGCTCTTTTCAAGATGAGCAGCTCCTTTAGGCGCAGCTCTGCCTTTGGAGACCTGCAGTCTTGCTTTCGCCGAGGTGGACTCCTTGACGCCTTTGCTGAGGCAGTGGTCCATGAATGCACGAATCATTGGAGCTGTCCAGCCGAAGCCACCGAAGCCACCCTCACATGAGCCAGCATGAGCCAATGAGGTCGGAAAGGATGGAACTGGCGGCATTTGCACAAGACATGGTGGCCTTCGATCCGAATCAACGGGTCTTGTTCCAAGGCGGCAGCACAGGAACTCTAGCACGTCTATGAGCTGCATACGCCCTGAACAGGCAAAGTTCGTCAGAAGCCCATGTGGAGTCTGGGCACAAAACTAGTCAAATCTTAGATGTAGCAGGAACTACACCTGGCAAGTTGCTTGCGTTGCAAAGTTGCCCTACAGTAGGTATGTCATCTTCAAAGGGACTGCTGTCCTCTCGCAGAGCGATGGCAATGAGAGCGCGGTACTCGTTGTGACTTTGCAGAGAAGTTCTCTGAAAGTCTAGCAACGAAGCTCAACCCGAGGTCGGAAGATCGCAGAGCTGCCTCGAGGTGGGAAACAACACCATCAATTGCCTAAACTGCTCCAGGTTGCCACAAGTCGCAAGTCTTCGGGAAGTTCAAATGGCTACCGCTCAATATGAAAGGTCCGGAACAAGGGCGAGCGCACATCCCGATCCAGACCC